TTTGTTAGATACATGGAATATCACTCTGAATTATCATATCTACAGAAGTATACAAATAAAAGTCTCTTTGTATTTATCCATTACTCAAACATAAATTCAGCTCTATGTTTTTGGAAGAGGGTAGTGGTATAATGAATCTTATATATATGGATGGATGGATGGATACTGATTAAGTGCCATCATGTTGCTGTCAAGTCTTAGTGATCATATGGATAGATGTCTTCAATCTGACTTTTAAGTCTCTCAATGGTGCATTCATTGATATTGTAATTAAGTCCATCTACCTGATGATCAAGGGCAAATTAGATATGGGAATAAAGAGAAGAAAAAAATTATACAAGATTATTATAGAAAACTGTATGAGCAAGAGAATATTGAGGAGGAAAGTGTTAAACAATAACTGCAGAAAGCAAATCTACTCCAGATTTCTAAAGACACAGTATTACAGATTTCTTGATGGAATTAGATTTCTACATTATGTGTCCAAATCTTGATATTCAGTGCTTCAAATGAGAATTTTGGTTACTAGTGCTTCAAATGAGAATTTTGGCTTGATTTGTACTTTGATTCATTTATCTGTTTTCCTGGCTCGCCATGGTATCCTTAAAAATGTTATTCATCCTCAAAGTTCAAATGTGAATATACTCTTTCTATCGGGCTTCTTCCAAGTTACAGCGTGTCACAGGAAAAAAAAAGTCTGAGCAATTTTTGGTTAGTGTAGACATACCACTGTATTTGAATATCCTTTCCAAAGTTTTCATTGCAACCCTGCAAGTGCTCTCTATGATAAATCAACCAATTAATCAAGAAGCAAGCAAGCAAGCGCAAGTCCTTGCTCAAACAGGAGACCTTATATCATTTCAGATAGGTAGCTGTCCAGACTTTTTAAAAAAACCTTCAGTGATGAAGCACATACAACTTCTGAAGACAAGCTGTTCCACTAGTAAATTGTCCTCACTGTTAGGAAGTTTCTGCTTAATTCCAGGTTGCTTCTCTCCTTGATTAATTTCCATCCATTGTTTCTTCTCATGTCTTCTGCCCATGCTAGACTTAATCTTCCCTCATTTGTGTAAAGAAAGCTAAAAAATGGGAGCCTACTGCTGATTTAATCCTTTAAATCAGTAGCTCCTTGTGGTCACTAAAGTGTCAGGCAAATCAGCCAGAACCACTAGTAAATAGGTAAAATAATATTGGAGGGAGACTGACAGAACCAGGGGGAGAAGTCAAGCAATCAGTTGAATCAGTTTAGAACAGCGGTTCTCAACCTGGGGGTCGCGACCCCTTTGGGGGTCAAACGGCCATTTCACAGGGGTCGCCAAAGCCCTCTCTCACCCCCCCAAGCCTTCACTCACCCTCACTCTCTACTCTGTTGGATCGCTGGCCGTTCGCTTACCCCGCCCACTCCCAATCTATTACTACCTCCTGAGTCCCAGCTGATGGCTAGAGGGAAAAAAACTGTTTAAAATCTTGCCATGGGGCTTCAAAGGGTCACCCTATAGCCACTGGTGGGATTCTGCCGGTTCCGCCCCGCCCCTTGCCCCGCCCCTCCGCACCACTATTTATTGCCAATAAATAGTGGTGGGCGAGGGGCGGGTGAGCCAGCAATTTAACAAATGGTTCGGTGTTTTTTTGTAATTTTATTGGCCCGCGGAGCTTCAGCATAGGCTAATTAGCCCTTGATTAGATTGGCTCCCGACTCTCAGCTGATTTGCTCTCAGCTGTTTTGCTCAGGGCTCTGCTGCTTGCTGGAGCAGATTTTTTTTCCCCTAGCTATGCTGAAAAATGAAACTGAAAGTAAAGCAGGCTGTTGGCTTTGCTGTTGCTGCAAGGTTGGAAAATTAGGCAGGCAGATTTCTTTTCTTTTTCCTCACCAAAAAAGGTAGGTGCAAACAATGAGAAATTTAGGGAAAAAGAGGAGAGTTCAAGATTTTAAAACACAAAAGAAAAAAAGCTCTATTTAACTAGGGAATTGTAATAATTGAGATACTATTAATTGTATATTGTGTTGAAAGCAGAAATGGTTAAGTTGTGGTTTGGAGCAATATATGGGGGGAAATTATTTGGTTTATTATTATTGATAAATATAATTAATTGATTTGTAAGAAATTGGATTGCATGGAAATAATTGGAATATTCATGTTCATATTGATTAATATACAAAAAAGATAGTTATATAACTAATTGATTTATATTAAAATGTTGAATTTATATTAAACAACTGTAATATTACATAATTAACCAATGTGAGGATGGATATAAAAATAGATGACAATGGGAAGGGGTATAATATAGAATAGAAGGGAAAAATTGAATTTGATTAAGATTAGAGATGAGGATGAAGGGTAATATTGGTTTTTTACAAAAATAGATGAGGAATAAATATGGAAAAAAAGAAATATAGAAATTGTAAATTTAATTGAAATGACTAAACACTGTTTAAATTTGTGAACCGGCCAAATATTCTGTTCAAAGAAAATACATTGTATGTTTGTATGTGTGTTTCTAATTATTGTTATTTATTCATATTTGTTCTCTTTTATTCTTTAAAGTTTAACAATTCATTCTTTATCTTAATATCTTTATATTTGTTTGGGGATGGCTTTCTTCCCTTTCATCTTTTTTATTGTACAGCAATCTTTATCCTCAAACCTACCACCTCTCTCTTTTCTTTCCTTCTTACTTTCTCTTCCTCCCCCTCTTCTTCTCCTTCCTACTTCCTCTTCCTTTCTCCTTCTCCTCCTCTCTTCCTCCCTCTCTTATCCTCACTCCTACTTCCCTTCCTTCATCCCTCTCTATTGCTGTATCCTTTTATGCATATGGACTACTCAGAGGGCTGAAAAAGTTATTTTTGACTGGTCCTCGCACTTTTGACTAGTCCTCGAACTTACGACTGTCCTCACATTTTACATTTTTGCCCTATCTTGTCACCATGGTGAAGAGAAGCAGTTGTGAAATGAGTGACATGGTTGTTAAGAATGCTACAATGGGCATAAATGATGACCAGTCATAAGTGCAAAGACCGGTCAAAAGTACGAGGACCTGTCAGAAATCACTTTTTTTCAGCTCTCTGGGTAGTCCTTTTGTGCATATGGACTACTCAGAGGGCTGAAAAAGTTATTTTTGATTGATCCTCGCACTTTTGACCAGTCCTCAAACTTACGACTGTCCTCACATTTTATGTTTTTGCCCTATCTTGTCACCATGGTGAAGAGAAGCAGTTGTGAAATGAGTGACATGGTTGTTAAGATTGCTACAATGGGCATAAATGATGACCAGTCATAAGTGTGAAGACCGGTCAAAAGTGCGAGGACCTATCAGAAATCACTTTTTTCAGCCCTCTGGGTAGTCCTTTTGTGCACATGGACTGCTCAGAGGGCTGAAAAAGTTATTTTTGACTGGTCCTCGCACTTTTGACCAGATCTAGAATTTACGACTATCCTCACATTTTACGTTTTTTGCCCTATCTTATCACCATGGTGAAAAGAAGCAGTTGTGAAATGAGTGACATGGTTGTTAAGAATGCTGCACTGGCATAAATGTGAGGATGGTCATAAGTGTGAGGATCAGTCAAAAGTGCGAGGACCTGTCAGAAATGACTTTTTTCAGCCCTCTGAGTAGTCCCTATACACATAGCCATGGCTACCTGGTCACATGACCAGCTAGCCATGCCCACCCAGTCACATGACCTCCAAGCCACGCCCACAAAATAAGCCACGCCCACAGAACTGGTAGTAAAAAAATTTAGAACCCACCCCTGGTTGGGGGTCACCACAACATGAGGAACTGTATTAAAGGGTCGCGGCATTAGGAAGGTTGAGAACCACTGTTCTAGTGTCTGAATAGATAAATTAAACTTTTGCACTGTGAGCTCATCTATTAAATTAACTGAGTCCCTGTTCCCCACAACCCTGAGGGCAAAGAGTTGTATATTCATTCCAGCATGAGATCTAAAGAGAAGGTAACAGAAGCAATATGCATTGCTTGTCTGCTGTCAGTGCCCAATTGTTTGAAGCTTCCCCTGCAGAGCTCTAGGGAAGGGAACCTGTGAAGTTTCCTCAGCTTTGGATTGCCTGCTACATGCCTGTAGGGTCTAGGACAATTGGTGCCAGTCACATTTCCATGCCCACTTCTCCATGGGACACTCACCACAGCCAACCCACCACCAGCATTTATGCTCAATGAGACCTCCACCAGTGCTCTTCTGCCAGGAATGGTCTTCTGGCACTTCTGCCCCGTTCCCTTGTCCCAGTTAATTCACCAAGGGATGCTTGTCCCTGGATGATTTGCTGTGTGGGACAATTAAACATGCCTTCCAGTGGTGGAGTGGCTTTGGGCACTGGGCCGGGAGGTGGGAGACATGGCAGTTGCTTTACAGGACAACTAGTCATGTAGCACCTCTACCCAAGGGCCTTTTGAAGCAGCAAAGGGGGAAAAAAGGGGCAGGAAACAGGATGGTTCTCTCCTTCCCAGTCTTTTTCCTTTGCAGAACAGGGAGAGAAGGGCCTGCCCATTTCTGCCCGAGCCAGGCCACTGGGGAAGGAAACGTGCACCTGGCATGCCCTCCCCCCCCAGCAGTAGCAGTGGTGGCACTGGCAGTAGCCCATCCAGCCATCGCTCCCACCATGGCCAAGCTGTATTAACTGTTTTGGCTGACACAGAAACAATTGAAAAAAGTAATAGAACTATTTAGGCTAACATTGCCTTCTTTCCCAGTCCAGCCGTCCCTGATTTTAGACCATTGCCAACCTCAGGAATTTCTCTTGAAGAAGTAAAACATATTACTTGAGGTATTCATGTAATTTCATTTTATTTATTTTGAAACCTAATAATGCAAATATCTATGCAAATTTTGGAAAATGTGGTTGCTGAAAGAGCAAAATCCTGCCTCAAAGTTGCTGTAGTTCAGTGGTTGATCTTGAAGCTTATTCCATATGGTTAGTCAGGTTGGGAGAAAGGGAAGAAAAAAGTCTCTGAGATGCTATCTTTTTCCCCTACTGGAATCCAGTAAGAAAAATACAAACATTTGATTAAAGGTGATTTCCTAGCTGGTGCTGCCAACTTCTGTTGGCATCATTGGCTTCATATTGGCCAATCTATTAAGGAATCTTCTGAAACTCTGGCACACCTCAAGCTTTCTTACCATCTTTTTCTTTAGGGAGTGGACCTCCAGTAGAGTGAACTGTTGTAGTGAGTGTCTTCTTTTATCTCTTAGGAAAAGTTTTTTCCTTTCCTGTAATTTAAAAGCATTTTGAATTGATCTTCTCAGCTGTCTCCTACTAAGATAATTTTTCTCCTTTCTAGTCATCCCTCCTGGTTAAGTTTCTTCTCCTCTTTCCTCCCCCATGCCACTTTGGGTCTGCCTAAACGTGCATCCACAGTTTCAGATTTTTTATTCTTTCCTAAACTCTATCTTGCCTTGTTACTCCTTGGGACAGACACCCTTCATTTCCTTTCTGTACTGACTCCAGATTCTTGGACCAGCAACTTCCTATATCTTCTCTTCACCTCTTCCATTTCCAAGATTCCTACTTTCTCTATTTTTGAATTCTTCCAGAAATGGCACTACACATCAAATTAAACTTTCTTATTTGACTAGCAAACTATGTTTGCATCAGATTTTATTTATCTCCCATTTCTATTGTATCCAATGGTTTTCCAAGCCACATGGTTGTTTTATTTTAAGGGCAAAGCAAAATTTATTGGTTTGCCTAGCCTAATCATATGCCTAGAAATAACAGAAATCAATAGAAATATCAAAGGCTTCATGCAAAGATGAATGGCACAATGAAGATACAGTTCATTGTTGATAGATTGAGAAATTAATATCAAGAGATTAATCTTCCAGGGAAAGCCGCTATCACTATTACTATTTGACATTGCACTGATTCCTCTATCAACTACACTGAACAAGTTAGGCCAGAGTTATCAAACTTCAAAGACATCTGCTAAGCTATCCCATTGATATCCCACATTTTTTACGTGGATGATTTGAAGCTGTATGGAAAAATAACTTGTGAAATAGAATCACCGTTCAACACTCTCCACCTATACAGCCATATATTGCCATTGATTTTGCAATATATTGCAAATGTACCATCCTTACCATCAACAGGGAAAAAAAATGGAAGGAATCAAGATGTACTGTGGAAATATAGGTAGTCCTCGAGTTACAAATGTAATGGAACCTGCCAATTACATTCATAACCTGAGGATTTGTTGGAGTAAGTCACGGAAAATGAACGTGAAAACTGCCTGCTTTCACCCACACATTCGCTAATTGAATGTGCAAATTGTTGAGCGCACATGAGATATCTCAGAGTGGGGAAGGCCATGAGAAGACCTGGTCATAGAACAGATCACCTGCTTAAGACCACCCAAGGCCTCCCCTGATTCACTGAGATATCTCATATTGCTTCTTCCTCCCCCCACATCCTGCCACACTGGGTCACTGACCTTGTGAAGATCTAGTGAGCTATCTCCTCTCCAGCCTCTCTGCCATGCAAGATCATGAAATTGTGCTGCCTCAAAGCATCCCATCTGTTTACAAATGTTTTGCATGGAGACTGGAAGCTTCTGGGTGCAAAGTTCTCATGGCCTGAATTCTCATGAGATCACGGAACCCAGAACATTTCTCTCAGCACAAACCATTTGCAAGGTGTTTGAATCCTGGAAGTGAAATCATCCCACTCTCAAAGAAACTGCAGCACAGAGGAGACAGATCTTCACAAGGTAAGTGAGTCCATTGCAGGGTGAGGTGGGGAAGCAATTGTAGGGAGCAGGGGGGAATAGGCAGGGTGAATGTTGCAATACCTCTGCGGTCATTCATAAGGTGAATGACTGCCATGGTGCTGCAACATTCGTAATTTCGGGACTGTGTTGTAAATACTTGGGGTGGGTTATCCCATAACTTTGAATGGTCACTAAGTGAACTGTCATAACTCAAAGATTACCTGTAACATCAAGAGTCTGGATGAAGATGATCACTGCAAATATCTGGGCATCCTTCAAACCAACCACATCAAGCACACTGAAGTCAAATAGAAGATTAGAAGTGAATATTTTATAAGAATGAAGAAGATTAAATCAAATATCTTTATTACAGTCTTTGACCAGCCAATAAAGTGTCCAATAAAAGAGAAATAGTTTAACACAACAAATTTGTTGTTGTCGAATGGAAAAAATAATATGACAATAAAACAATATATTGAATATATTTTCTCTCTGAAGTCCAAACTCTGAAGAAATATCCTCAAAGCAATTAACACCTGGGCAATTCAGTTGTTATATATACAGCTGAAGCAGTGGACTGGACTCAAGCAAAACTAAAAGCCCTGGATAAGAAGACAAGAAAAATAATGAAAATGAATCATTCCCTTCATCCACACAGTGATACTGGTAAATACCAAAGAACATACCAAAGAAAATAGATGAGCATGGGATGTTGCAAATAAACCAGACAGTTGTAAAAGAAAAAAAGGGTGTTGGAAGCATGTCTGAAGGACAATGAAGAACATGCACTGAAGCTAGTACACTATAAAAGTTTGTTGAGTTCCAGAGAGACCAAAGTGACCAGCCAAATGAAGAACAGAAAAGAGACATGGCAAGGCCAGTATGTGGCCAGTACATTTACATTTAAAAAAAAAAAAATAGCGGGCAAAGCAGATAACACCAAGACGTGGTGACAACTAAGAGCAGGAAAATTGAAGAAAGAGTCAGGGGCTAATTGCAATGTCTACAATCTCCGGAGGTTCTGGAAAGCCCTTAAGACCTGGCTTTGACCCCAGGCCTGGTTCCATGTGTTGAAGGGACCCCTGATATGCATTCCTACTATTGTTATGATTGTTTCAGTCCAGGCTGTCTGTTTTGTTTTGTTTTTAACTGTTTTTACTGTTTTAAGGTTTTGTAAACTACCCAGAGTCTGCTGGAATAGGGCTATAACAGATTATTAGTATAGTTGGTTGCATAGTCAACCAGATGTTTACACTGGATTTGACATTTTATCCACTAATGAGTCCTTTCCAAGGACCTGGCAGATGTTGTTGTTTGATGGTATTAAAGGTACCATTGCAGGATTTAAGCTGTTCAAAGTAAAGCTGCATATAATGGCTCTTGCACATTTCTTTGAAGGCCATCTTCCTTATACTTAGCCTGGTTGATACCCCCAATCACAGAATTGTGAGTGTGGGAATATAATAAAGGAAAAGCCTCCATTTAAACTATCTTTAAGTACTATAGAAAATAAAGGCTATAAATCTCACAAATACTGTGGGTACTTTTCACTATGTATATATCTGAATAACAAATAGAGGCAGTGCATATTCTCTTTGCTGCCATCTAATGATCATCATGATTTTTGCAGTCCCCACTTAGCCACTTTAAAATTAGTTTTTATTAAGCACTATTATTCATCATTTCTGCATGTTGATTCTCAACATTCCTTTTTTTTTTTCAGTTGAGCAACATTTCTTTTAAGTAGTTAATTCATTTTGAAGATACTTATAGGATCTCCATTTTTTGTTGAATGACATAAGCCTGAATAAATGAAAATGCATCTAGGGTAGGCAAACAACTTCCTACAACAATTTTAGGCTGTGAGTTACAAATATACCAAAAGCTGCAAGATTGTATTGTTGTCTCCCTTCCCATCCATCAAATCTTTCTTCTAAAATCTAGTACAAAAATAAAGACTGTAGCATTAAAAAAAAAAAAAAGTAAAATGGCTGCATACAAGCTAGTACTGGAGTTTTAGGATGATATTCATTTTATTTTGTGTATCTTCTAGACAGTGATTTTAATGTTATGTAAATACATCTGGCAATTTCTAATCTTTATTGAAATGCAAGTGTCAAAGCTCTTCTGTAGTACAGGTTACCAATGATAAAAACAAGATTTGTTTTATACAAGGAAGAGCATGATTACCAGCTTTAGAAATTCAGTTTTTTCCAACTTCGTTACAAATTTAAACTAAGACAAGACAGTGCAATAGAAATGAGGGGGTGGGGGTAATAGCATCAGAAAATCAAGTATTGTTAAAAAAAAAAGTTTGACAGGAATTGTTTTCCTTCCTTCCCTAAGTCCATCAAGATATACCAGCATTCTATTGCATGGGGAAAGCCTCTATTAATTGTCCAAATTAATACATTTAAAACTGGCAGGAATAGCCAACACCCAAGAAGATAGGCTCAAAATCCTTATAGATCTCGACAGGTTTTTTTCAGTACTGGGCCATATCTAATAAAATAAAAGTCAATGCTGAGAAAAGGCAAGAAAAACTAGTTGTACAGGTACAGATAAGGTGAAACCTGGCTCAACAGCAGTAACTGTGAGAGGGTCTTGAAGTCCTAGTGGACCATCACTTAAATATGAGCCAACACTATGCCGCAGCAACCAAAAAAGCCAATGCAACCCTAGGCTACACTAACAGAAGGAAGAATCAAGAATGATTCTTGATTCTTGAAGTATTAGTAATGCTTTATAAAGCCTTACTATCACTTTATAAAGCCTTAGTAAGACTACACTTAGAATGCTACATCCAGTTGTTGTCACCATTTTATAAAAAAGATGTTGAGATTTTGGAAAGAATGCAGAGAAGAGCAACAAAGATGATTAGAAGTCTGGAGGCTAAAACATATGAATTGGATTTGTCTAGTCTAGTGCATAGAAGAAGAAGAAATTTCCTGATAGTGAGAACAATTAACCAGTGGAACAGCTTGTCTTCAGAAATTGTGGGTACTCCATCGCTGGAGATTTTTAAGAAGAGACTGGATAGCCACTAGTCTGGAATGATATAGGTCTCCTGTAGGACACCTCTAAGGTCCTTTCCAACTCTGCTACTCTGTTAAATTATACATTGCTGTTAAACTTGTCTTTTTAAATGGAAGCCCAAAGGATATTTCCAGATGCATTGGCTTAGTTTTTGCATGGGTAATTCTTAAGGAAATAGTGATGAGTAAGTAATTCTTATTGGCAATCATGCTGAACAAAACAAAGGCAATCTGTCTAATCTCGTGTGACTGAACTCATCAAATGTCTATCCAATCATTAGCATAGTCTTTTGATAGTAGGAACTAGCCAAAAAGTGGTAGGAAGTTCACCAAAGAATTTTATTTAGGATAAATAGAAGCTGGAGATGTCCCTTGTCTCATTCCCTAAATAACAGAATAATAGAGTTGGACAGGATCTTGGAGGTCTTCTAAGCCAATCCCCTGCTCAAGCAAGAAGACCCTATAGAATTCCAAATAAGTGGTTGTCCAATCTCTTCTTAAAAGCCTACAGGGAAGGAGCACCCACAATTCTCTTTTTCCTGGGGGGTGAAGGCTCTGCATCTTGTGACCAGTGCACTCATAGAATGTGGTCAGATCAATCTCAACTTCACTGGCCAGGTCATACCAACCCTGAAGGTCTCTAGGAGCCCCCTGGGACAGGCAGGCAGGTATACTACAGCTCTCAGCTTAGCTCCTCTTGGAAGTGGTCCATTAAAAGCCATCAGGGCCAGTCTCCCAGCTGGCTAGCCAGCCTCCAGGAACTTTTGGATATACTCCACCACTGGCCACTTCCCCTGTTTGATAGCTTGGATGTGGCTTGCCACTCAGCTGTCTGCCAATTGGTCCTTAAACTGTCTTCATAGGGTTTGCATGAAGAGGTCAAATCAATGTAATTCATTGGTGTCATCATTCTATAGGGCCACTAGCCAATTCATCACATTCCTGTCCAATGCCAGGGCCATGCAGTCCACTCTGGCCACATCATCTGGGTAAAATGCTCTACACCACCCCATGTAGTGCCAGATGTGGGCCAGGAAATACCCCAATCGCTTCAAGCTCCGATTGCACTTCAACACAAGGGGAGGAGGTTGGTGATCTCCCTGAATTTGGGGAGCTCCTAGTGCTGGTGGGGCCATCGGTGCCTGGACTGCTGCATGTGCTGGTGGAGTCGCTGGAACCAATGCAGCTGTGATGGGTGCCACTGCTGCTACTGCAGGTGTTACTGACATTGGGGCCAGCTTCTCCTTGAGGACCATCTCATACCTTAAGCTCCTGGAGCCTCCCTCTTGGATGGTCAAGTGCTAGGTCAGGTACTGAGACTAGGAGCTCTTGGATGTTTGGATCATCCCACTCTGAGACTTGTCAGGTTGGGATATGACCCCCTTAGACAACATTCACTCTGGGGGTATGGGCTCTTTTGGCTCATCCAACCCTCTGACCACTGGGCTCATACCCTTCTTTCCGATCCTCTGGGGCCACTGGTCTTCCTCCCACTCAAACTCTATTTGGCCAGTCTGGGTTCCCTACTGGATCCCTGAGGCCTTGGGCTCTCCTTTTGGCCTAATGTCCCTCTTTCTCAGTGGTGAAATCTGAACCGGTTTGCTACCAATTCGCTGGCCTTGCATGCTACACGCAAAGTGTGCACTGTGTGCACGCATGTGGAGTTTGCACCAAACACGCGCTGTGCATGCATGCACATTATGCATCAAAAGGTGGCTTGGGAAAGTAAGTAGAAGAGCTGGGGGGGAATCAGCTGTGGTGCGTGATCTTGGGAACCTTTTAAAAACTTTTTAAAAGCATTTTTTACTACCAGTTCGGGTGAATAGGTAGTAAAAAAATGCTTTAAAAAAGTAAAAAAAAAAAGAGGTTCCGATGATCGCATGGCACAGCTGTGATCTTGGGAACCTTTTTTTTACCTTTTAAAGCATTTTTTTACTACAGGTTCGGGTGAATAGGTAGTAAAAAGATGCTTTAAAAAAGTAAAAAAAAAGGCTCGGATGATCACAATTATGCCACATGATCCTCCAAGCCTTTTCTCTCTTTTTAAAAGCATTCTTTTACTACCTATTCGCCCAAACCGGTAATAAAAAAATGCTTAAATTTTTTTTAAAAAAAAATTCCAATGATCGTGTATTGCTCAACTGATCATCAGAACTTTTTTTTTTACATTTTTTTTTTTTACTACCGGTTTGGTGAACTAGTAGCATTTTTTACTACCAGTTCGGGCGAACTGGCCCAAACCGGTAGCATTTCACCCTTGCTCTTTCTCTCTGGCTCCTTTCAAGAGAAGAACATGTTCACAAAATCTCCATGATAGGTGAGCTCTCTGGGTAGATTGCTGTTTCACATCCATCTTAATGTCAACTGACCCAACTTGGTCAGTTAGAAAAGAAAGATTTTTGAGCCCATGATTAAGCCAAAAGTACACTTTACTAAAGCCAAGAGGTTACAGAAGAAGCAAAGCTGGATCTGATGTTTTTGCGCCAAAAGCATATGGATAACTTTCTCCTGTTCCCACCTTTCACCCTGATTATCAACAAGCTAGTTTAGCTTGTTTACTTAGGTACTAACAAATTGTTTGGGTAATGGTCCCAGTCTTTGTGGGCTGGATGGTTCTGCATTCCATAGTGTGACCTTGGAACAGCTAGTGGTGGGACAGTCTGATGCTTAGTTTTGATTCTTCTAATCCTCCCTTATATCACCCTGCAGTTCTCCCACCCCGTTAAGTGAGACAGCAGGCAATGCATAGCATAGCAGGATGGCAATCCTGACAGTCAACTAGGACCTCAAGACCTTTCAGTTACTACTATTGAGCCAAGTTTCATCTAAACTGTACCTGTACATTTGGTTTTTCTTGCCTAAGTATAAAACTTTACTTTTCTCTCCATTAAATTTCATTTTGTTAGATAGGGCTCAGTGTTCAAGTATGTCAAGCCCCTTCTGGATCTTGAGCCTATATTCTGGAGTGCTGGCTATTCCTGCCAGCTTAGTGTTGTCTGCAAATTTAATGAGTTCCCTTTCTGTTCCCTCATTTAAATCGTTTATGAAGATATTGAAAAGTACTGGCCTAAGATCAACTCTTTTCCAGCCCTATGGTAGTTCTCCTGTGCTCCAGGATCTTTGAAAGATATGCTTCAATGGTTTTGAGATCGTGTTTGCCAGCTCCTGGCAGAATTTTTGGCAGATGGAAGAAGGATGTACATGCCCTGAGAACAAGGATTAATTTTGAAGGAGGACATGTTGCCTGGCATTTAATTTGAAGGACCAGGGATAAAGATATGAACCTAGAGAGCTCTAGTATATTTGGCAATATTTCCCAGAGGGAAGCCATGATATCACTGGGTTGTCACAAAATTACACTTAACATTATTTTTTAAGTAAACATATTAAGAACTAAAAGCATGAGTATATGAAGTCATCTTTTGTTCAGGCTTAGGACAGCTTATTTGGGAATTAAAGGTAGAATGCATAATCTAAGGCTAAGGTCTTTTCCAGCCCTGAAATCTTTTATCATGAGATATTTAAAGTTGGGACTCTTGTGGTTATAACCACATTGATATAAGGCTAAACAATTTTGGGACAAAAAGGAAAGGAAGGAAGGAAGGAAGGAAGGAAGGAAGGAAGGAAGGAAGGAAGGAAGGGAATGAAAAGAGAAAGAGAAAAAGGAAGGAAGGAAGGAAGGAAGGAAAGGGAATGAAAAGAGAAAGAGAAAAAGGAAGGAAGGAAGGAAAGAAGGAAGGAAAGGAAGACTAACGAACAAAAAAATAAATATGGATTGGATTGGACGGAACTACATTTTAGGTTAAATGCAGTGTGAGACTCAACTGGTTCGCACCACTTCAGCCAAAGCAAACTGAATGCAGCTGGCAGCATGACTTTCGCTCATCTTTTTCTGGGCGCAGGGCTTCTGCTTGTTGGCACTGGCAGCAGGTGGAAGCAGAAGCATGGGAGAGGCAGGCAATCCCAATGCCCTGTGCTGGTGTTCGGTGGGGCCACAGGTAAACTGAGAGACAGTGGGATGGAGTGCTACAGACGCCTTTTGCTTGCCCTTTTGCCTGGCTTCCCTCCTCCTGCTACTTGCACTCTCCCTTCCCGGTCTAGCTTGATGCAGGAGGAAGCTCACAATTGCCCTTTCCAAGCCCCCTGTCAGTAAAGCTGGGCGCCAGTGAGGGCTGGCTTTTTGCCTAGGTTTATCCGGCTGTCGGGGGTGGGGGGACAAACAGGGCCTGGGGAGGAAGCTGTTTTCCTTGGCTTGGAAAGAGCAATTGTGAGCTTCCGCCTACTGGGAAGGGGAGGTATTGTGGAGGGAGGGTGCAAGCAGTGGGAGGAGGGAAGCCAGGCAAAAGGGTGACTGAGGGGCATCCACAGCATGCTGTAGCGCATGCACGTTCCCTCAGTCTGGCAGACTTTCTAAGGTAGGGGGAGAGAGAGAGAGATCCGATCCAATCTTTGAGAGTTATATCAGGGCTGGCGGCAGTGTTCTCTCTCTCTCTCTCTCTCTCACACACACACACACACACACACACACACACACACACACACGTATGTTGGATCTTTCTTTCTTCCTTCCCACCCCACCCACCAGAGACCCCTAGATTCCCTCCCCAACACCGCCTGGCCCATACAGGCACCACCCACATGAGTGTCGTAAAGTTGGCCACGTCCACTCAGTCACATGACACCCAGCCACGCCCACCCAGTCAAATGACCACTAAGCCATCTCCAGAGAACCGGTTGTTAAAAAATTTGAATCCTACCACTGGTCAAATGGATATGGAAGCCAAATATGAATCTTACTCAGACCAAGTCCTGAATCACCATGAGCTAAGTTTCAATGTAGCCAATTCAAGACATTTCTATACAGCACCATTTCCATACCTAAATCTCTGATTGTACAATCATTTAAACAATCATCTTCAGCTTTGCATACCTTAGAATGAGTATATCACAAGGAACATCATGAATAAATCAGTTCTCTTCCTCCAGCTGACCACAAAAATCTTCATTCAGTTACACCATAATTTACTACATGTCCTGAAACAATAAAAATTTTCTACCAGCATTTCTCATTAAATGGCCTATAAAATAATTTCTAATCACTGTATTACTTATTCATTTAGAACATTTAATTGGCTACCAAGCGTGTAAAATAAATTTAAAGAAAAACAATGAAAAATACAATTAAAAGCAAGCATAATAAATACAAAAGTTGCATTGCTAACACAGATACATCAAACGCCACTTAACGCTTGAGAGAAATAATCAGATTCTTATGGGGTTAGTCCAGAAGGGTTAGGCCCACCTAGCTCTCAATGGGGAAGCTGTTCCATAGGCAGGCACTGCAATAGAGAAGGTACTTCCTTCTCTATTACATAATGACACGATTTTATATCTACAAAATGGCAATGGATAGATTTTAGTAAGAGAAGATGGAGCAGGCCCATCCTATTGGATTTGGTGAGGTGGGTAGAAATGACTGAGATTTTTGTTATTCCAGGATCTATTGCAGCCTGATGAAATGCACTACTTAAATAATATTATTTGTTCCTCATTCTCAATGTTTTGTAGTCAACAGAAATGAAGACATTCATATATATTTTTCAAACTAACTTTGAGGTTTGATGAATGACAAGTTTGTGACAGCTATGGTACACTTGTTTCAAGGAACTATCATGTTTCAAGGAATTATCCCTTTTTTAGAATGAAAAATATTTCAAGTAAATAAGAAATGCTCTATTACTTTTCAAAGTTACAAAAAAATCACTGCACCTTTTTCTGTCTTCCTCAGTCTTGAGGAATGAACTAGGATAATTCAGGAACTGTTGTTTTATATGGAAAGTCTTTACAAAGCAGTCAAAGTTAAACCTGTGGGCCAGAGAGCAAATTACATTGCGATAGATACTACAGTTCCCAAGAACCTTGGGTTGTGAGCTAAACTTTCACAATTGCTTCTGTGAAATATTAGAGGATAGTGACTAATCCTTGAGCACATAACAGTCCAGCTTGTAAAGAAAGTCTTGCTTTTTCCAAACTTAACCATTTTTGGCTTCATCAAGGTATTTTCTTCTATTCCACCTTAATAAATAAAAAAAAAACTGATCAACAAATAAAAATTATTGTAAAAATGCAATTACAGTATGAGGAAAAATATACCAGGATAAATGTTCTTCAACTAAACAGAACTAAACTGCTGGAACAAGGGATCAGGCTGTCATGAGAACATTGATTTCTAGATCATGATTTTCACTACGTATAGGACAGAATACGTTACAAGTAAATTGCTAAATCAAACAATGTGCCATCATGAGAACTTTCATTTCTAGATCATGGTTTACATTATCTACATGAAAAATGTCCAGCAAGAGATAGATTGCACTTCACAAAGACTGGCAAGATTGTGTTTGGGAAATAACTGGCTCAGCTTACCCAAATTATACCTGGAGGGTGAAGGAGACCAATTTACAGGACTAACCCCAAATCATAAAGCCCAAGAAAACAAAGCAAATAATGAGAAGGGGGTAAGAAAGAGACACACAAGTATTAATCAGGTGAAGCAGAAAGCAAACTCAGGGTTAACTATAAAAGGCTCAGATGTCTATATAACTAATGCTCATAGTATGGGGAACAAACAATGAGAGTTTGAAATCCTAGTCCAAGAGGGTAGATAAGATATTGTTGCCATTATTGAAACATGGTGGGATGGAACCCACAATTGGAAGACATAACTAGAAGGATATAAACTGTTCAAAAGAATCAGACTCAACAATAGAGGAGGAGGTTGCATTGTATGTAAGGAATTACTACACTTCTACAGAAACGCACACTAGTAAGAATGAAACTCTCTTGAAAGTATCTGGATAAATATCATAGAAAAAATAAATAATTTTGTTGTAGGTGTGTACTACAGTCCACTCAACTAAGAGCTGAAAACAGATGGACTCTCTTCTAATCAGTTAGCTGAGATGTGCAAGAAACACACCACTGTAGTAATGGGGAACTTTAACTACTTGACAACAACTGGGAAACAAATTATGCAGCAACTTTGTCATACAAGAAGTAGAGGAGAGAATTATAGGCACAGTTGTATTAGATTAATCCTTACTAATAAGGATGAAATGGTAAATGGAGTAAAGGTTATAGGAACTTTCTTTGGGGAAGAGTGACCATGTCATACTAGAATTTAACATAATGCAACCTCAGGTAAATGAACAAAGTCAGACTAGTATTTTAGCCTTTAAGAGAGCTGATTTCAACAAACAAAGATAGAGATTAGGAAATTGGAAATCCTAAAAGGAAAAGCAATTCAAGATGCTTGGGAAGCTCTGAAAAATGAAATAATAAAGGCCCAAGTAAAAACAATACCACAAGAAAAACAAGAGACTCCAGATGAAACCAGCATGGTTGCTGAAAGAGCTCTCTGATAGACAAAAAAGACAAGCATTAAAAAATAGAAAGCAGGTCACATAACTAAAACAGAATACCAGCAAATAGCCAAAGAGGAGTCAAGAAAACTAAGGTTCAGAATGAGCTAATAATGTCAAAAATAATAATAACAACAATAACAATAACAACAACAATAAAACACCCTTTCTTACAGTATTATGTTAGGAATAAGAAGAAAGTGATAAATCCACTCATGAAAGCAGATGGTAAGAAAGTGACAGCAGCAGGGAGAAGGCAAAACTGCTTAAATCCTTATTGGTATCTGTCTTTACACAAAAGGAAGAAATGGCCCAATCTATTGAAAGCAGAACCAAGAGAAATAGAACAGGTAAGTCAAATCAAATAAAAATAAACAAGGAAGTAGTAGGAGAAAACCTAGTCACTCTGGATGAGTACAAATCACCTAGACCAGATGGATTACCTTAAGGACTCTGAAGGAGCTGGACTTCAGTGAACTTGGAATCACTGAATGTAATCCTTCAAAGCTCCTCTAGCACAAGAGAATTACCAGAAGACTGGAAAAGAACTTATATGGTACCAATCTACAAAAAGGGGGAAAAATGGACCCAGGAAACTATAGCTAACATCAATGTCTGGGAAAATCCTCAAAAAGATAACCAAGCAGCAGATTTTGAGCACCTAGAAACAAGTAAGGCAAATTACTAGAAGAAAGCATGGGTTTGTTAAAAACAAATCATGCCAGACACACCTTATTGCCTTTTTTTTTTTTTGAAAAAGTGACTAAACTAGTGGATCAGGGAAATGCTGTTTATTTGGAGTTCAGTTAGGCATATGACAAAGTAGATCACAGCTTTCTTCTTAATAAGATAGAAAAATGTGGGATAGAGAGTACTATCACCAGACTGATTCACAATTGGCTAACCAACCAGACTCAGTGTTTAGTCCTCAACGGAAGTATATCTACATAGAGGGAAGCATATAGTAGGGTACCCCATGGGCCCAGTACTTTTCAACATCTTCATAAATGATCTAGATGAAGTGATAGAACTCATCACATTTGCAGATGATACCAAGCTGTGGGGAAATGCTAAAGATTTGGAGGATAGACTGAAGATATAAAAGGATCTTGACAGACTTGATCATTGGGCCCTGTCCAAGAAGATGCAGTTCAGTGGTGAGAAAAGTAAGGTCCTGCACTTAGACAGGAAAAACAAATGCACAGGTATAGAATAGGTGGTATGTGGCTGAACAGTAGTGTCTGTGAAAAGGACTACCACTACTGAAGTATGACCCAGCAGTGTGCTGCAGCTGGCAAAAAAGCCAATGCAATCCTGGATTGCACCAAGAGAAGATTAGCATCAAGACCATGAGAAATGATAGTACCACTTTATACTGCACTTGTTGTTGTTGTTGTTAGTTGCAAAGTTGTGTTTGACCCATTGTGACCCCATGGATAACTTTCCTCCAGGCCTTCCTGTCCTCTACCATCCCCCAGAGACCATTTAAGCTCATGCCAACTGCTTCAGTGACTCCATCCAGCCACCTCATTCTCTGTCGTCCCTTTCTTCTTTTGCCCTCAATCTTTCCCAGCATCAGGCTCTTCTCCAGTGTGTCCTTCCTTCTCATTAAGTGGCCAAAGTATTTGAGTTTTATCTTCAGGATCTGGCCTTCTAAAGAGCAGTCAGAGTTGATCTCCTCTAGGACTGACTGGTTTGATTGTCTTGCAGTCCAAGGGACTCGCAGGAGTCTTCTCCAGCACTATAGTTCAAAGGCCTCAATTCTTTGGTGCTCAATCTTTCTTATGGTCCAACTTTCACAGCCATACATTGCAACTGGGAAAACTATAGCCTTGACTATACACACTTTTGTTGGCAGGGTGATGTCCCTGCTTTTTAGTATGCTGTCTAACTTTGCCATAGCTTTCCTCCCCAGGAATAAGCGTCTTTTAATTTATTGGCTGTAGTCCCCATCTGCGGTGATCTTGGAGTCCAGGAAAATAAAATCTGTCACTACCTCCATTTCTTCCCCATCTATTTGCCAGGAATTCAGAGGGCTGGGATCTTTGTTTTCTTAATGTTGAGTTTCAATCCAACTTTTGCACTCTTCACCTTCACCCGCATCAGAAGGCTCTTTAGTTCCTCTTCGCTTTCTGCCATTAGTGTGGTATCATCTTTATATCTGAGGTTGTTGATATTTTTCGCAGCAATCTTAATTCCAACTTGTGATTCATCTAGCTCTGCCTTTTACATGATGTAATCTACATATAAATTAAATAGGACGAGAGTATACAGGCTTGCCGGACTCCTTTCTCAATTTTGAACCAATCAGTGGTTCCTTGTCCAGTTCTTACTGTTGCTTCTTGACCCACATATTGGTTTCTCAAGAGACAAATAAGATAGTCTGGTACTCCCATCTCTTTGAGAACTTGCCACAATTTGTTGTGATTCACACAATCAAAGTCTTTGAAGCAGAAGTAGATGTTTTTCTGGAACTCCCTAGCATTTTCCATGATCCAGTGTATATTAGCAATTTGATCTCTAGTTCCTCTGCCTCTTCGAAATCCTGCCTGCACTTCTGGTAGTTCTCGGTCCACATACTGCTGCAGCCTAGCTTGTAGGATTTTGAGCATA